GTCTTCCATACTTGAGGGGCTGTCACAGAGAAGAGGGGAGTCAACCTATTCTCCAAAACATCTGAAAGAGGACAACTAAGGGGATGGAAGATCACTAAAAAGAGATCCAACTTAGAAATAGGGTGAATTCCTCACAGTGAGAACAATTAATCAGTAGACCAGCTTGTCTCCAGGAGTTGTGGATGCTCTATCGCAGGAAGTTTTTAAGAAGAGATTGGAGAGCCATTTATCTGGAATGGTATAGGGTGTGCTGTTTGATTAGAGGGTTGGACTAGAAGACCTCCAAAGATGGCCCTACTATACTATATTCTATTTGGATGACAACTCAGAGGATTCCCATCCAGGTTGCCATGCACATTCAGCATATCTGATGGTACCACACTGCCGAAGGCTACTTTATGTTAAAACAGTACAGCTGAAGAAGGCAGTAACATGAATGCTTTATGGCAGTGGTCCCCAACCTTTCTAGTTTGCTAGCCTGTCCCAGCTGGGAGTGGGGGGAATGAGAGTGGCAGGCACACACACGTGTGCACAGCTCCATTTGGGAGAGCAGCGGGTGCCTGCACCCTCCATTCATGTGAATGGAGCTTTGTGCATGAGCAGAAGGTGCTTGCGCTCACACGCAAAGCTCCACTTGCACAAGTGGCAGGCACTTGTGCTTGCGTGTGAAGCTCCACTCATGTGAGCGGAGGGCACTAGCGCATTAAGCTCCACTGGCACAAGTGGAGCTTCACACACACACACACACACACACACTTACCATCTCTCCCATGGCCCCGTTTCAAATAGGCACTTGCACTTGTGCGCAAAGCTCCGCTCACACGAGCGGAGGGCACTTGAGTGGAGGGTGCTTGTGCTAATGCACGAAGCTCCACTCATTAAACAGAGGGCACTAGCTAGCAAAGCTCTGTTTGCATGAATGGAGCTTTGTGTGAGAGGATAAGTGCCTTCTACTTGCATGAGTGCAAATGCCTTCCGCTTGTGCGAGTGGAGTTTCACGTGTAGGTGCTTGTCCATCTCTCCTGCAGCCTGGTTTCAAAGTAGTGGGCCGCTGCCCGAGGGTTCAGGACCCCTGCTTTATGGTTAAAAATCTAGCCATAGATGTAGGCACAGTATGATATTCATTGTATCAAATGTTGTACTACTTAATGTTTCAGATATAATACATGCCCCCCCCCAGGACAAACACTGATACAAGCAAATAAAGTTAAGAAAAAAAGATCCAAACTATTGAGGCATACAGAAAAAATCCCTCTTGTGATATAAAGAAATCTATAGCAACCCATTAGTCCAATGGTTTGGCTTGCTAAATTACTGAAAGCTGGTTCAGATAGTTCAATACACTCAAGTTTCACTCAGCATTCCCAATTCAGCAGTTTCTCATGCCTTAAACCACATCCACTCAGCTGTTTTCCCATGTTCTCCTCCCTTTCTGGATCTCATAGAAAATCATATGACTTCCAATCTTGCTGCTCCCATCGTATGACCTTACCATATGGACATTTTAAAATAAGTGACCATGAAATTTATGGGTTCTGGTCTTCCTCACAACCAAAGGAGACTGGAAAGGAAGGACAGGGAAACAGGAAATGGATGCAACGGGGTGTTCCTATAGGAAAGTAGCAAAATAAATTTTGAAACCACTCGTTTGCTGATATAGAACACATTATTTCCCCCATGTTCATGCGAACACCCTATACATAGTGTCTAGAGATGGATAATGAAGGAAACGACCCCTTCCAAAATGGAGCACCGAAATTTGTCCTCCAGCTGCTTCAGAAACAGGTGGAATAGAATAATATTTTACATAATAAAAAGGCAGAATAATAAACGAGAAAGAGATGATATGTGTCTGGAACTATAACAAACAAAAACATACCAAATAGCCAAGAAAAGCAGCAAATTGACAATTACATCCTGATCATTATCTCTCTTGTCCTCTCTTGGAACCTAGCTGGGTGGGCCCCAAAACAAGCAGACCCAGATTTTCTTAGATTCTTGTCAAAATTTGATATGGAAGGAGACATGGATATTGGGGGAATTCTCAATTTCCAATTATTTTTCTCTGTTAACCCCTACACAACCTAGCCTCAGTGGTGGCAGATCTAAGGGTGAGTTTGGTCTGTTTATAGCTTTCGATCTACATGTACAAACTGTAAAATAATCAGCTCTGTTTGGGAATGCCATATCAGGTTTGTTATTTTTTGCAAAAGGATGCTAATTGGAACATAACTAAAGGGGGCTTCTGCAGCAAATTGCCAGATAGTTCATAGGTTCGTAAACAAAGCAGGCCCAGGTTTTCTCACAAAGCATTCCTTAACAAATAATGCATAATTCCCACTCTGTTTTATTCTAAGGGGAAAAAAAACAGTAACAAAAATATTGGGAAAACATGGAATATAGTGTTGAAAGAAAAGTCTTCATCCTGGTTCATCCAAGCCGGGGATAAATAAACAAAATGGCGACTGCTTTAGAATGAAGGTTGCAGTTTATTGAAGAGGCAGAAAGATGGTTCTTGCAGGAAAGACCAGAGAAAAGAAGGGCTGAGCACATGGGTAGTAGTTTTTTATACCCTCTGAAAGCCTTTTATTTGGAATAGTTTCCTGTTCCTGTGACATGAACTTTGAGGCTATTTCCTGTGTCACGTAGTCTGACCTGAGTCTAGGTATGCCTCTCTGGTATTCTTGATGGTGATGGGTTAGTCTTGTTATGTTCCATCTCAGGTGGGGTATGCAGATTTTAGGTCTTTGTCTTCTTGATCTCCTAGCTGGGGCCTTTCTGATGGTTTACATTTGCATTTGTATAGGGCTGGCTTCTGCTTGGGACAGAGAGACTTGGGGGCAGGGTTGGTTTCTGCTTTTAAAATCCTTTTGAGGAAATATATTTTTCTGCCCTTTTAAATATTTCCTTCTCTGGGGAGCTGACTTCCCACAATAGGTTGCATTGGAATGGAAATAACTATATTGGCTTTTCAATATTATATGTATCTGAACACATATCACTTACATCACTGCTTTTATACTGATATCAGGGTTATGCCATGCTTTCTGTCGAACGAATAAAAAATCTTGATGAAGAAAATAGTTTTACATGAAGTAAACCTTAGTGGCCCATCGTTTATTATATGAAAGTGTTCAGCGAAGAAGTGAAGTCAGAATTATTACTTGAGCTATCTGTGGATATTGGCATTATTTTCTGAAAGAGTTTGCGATTTGCTGGTGAACTCAGAGCCACATACTGCTGACAGATAAAGTGTTTGTCCCAATACAAAGTCTCAAGGGCAACCTTTTCTAAGCTGGTACTTTTTGAAAGGACTGTAACTTCCAGATGTTGCAGGACTATGTCTATAGTTTTCTCCAAGGGGATAAATAGTATGTTAGATGGCAAATTTGGGGGAAGCAATATTTAAGAAAGTTCACATGGGGAAATTTGCAAACACTCCATTTTGAAATCATGGGAGAGCCTGATCAGGGTTTGCGTCCAATCATCTCCTAAGTATAATAAAAAAATACATTTAACGATATTCGTCTCAAAAGTTACATCTTCCTTTTGATACTGTGTTGGCCATATCATAACTTGCTTTTATTTACATGCAGAGAATTCTTAGCATTTTTACCACCTTTGCTTTGCTGCTTTCTAGGTCATGCTGACATAGACTGTGTTCCAATGAATGTCGTAGTCATCTATTTGTCACAATTCCTGTGTTTTAGATCCAGAAATAAGCAGAAACAAAAGAAGCACATCAAGCTACTAGATGGCTGTTACATATAGTCAATAGGCTTCATTCAACAACTCATGGATTATACATGCTTGTTGTAGCCTATATGGACTTTTCTAGTTTCCTTACCAACAAAGTGGCTTTGAAACCAGTCTAAACATCTTTCAGATCTTTCCCTAATTGGTCCTATATCTGCCCAGTGAAGCTTGGCCCCATTCTGAGCAAGCCTGGCCAAGATACTGGCTGGAAAAAGATTTTATTGCCTGCAAAATCCTAACATTTACTTCTATGCCTGTACTGGCACTCCCTTCAAACCATTAAGTTGTCACACAGGGATTTGGAAATGGATGTTAAGCTCACTTCTTCTGCCCAAACAAATCATACTGTCTCTTGCTTAATGGATTGCTGCTAATGGAGTCAGAAGCTCTTGGTGTCCAGATTACCCAGTTATTTCAAAAGTTTGACAATTGTCCTACTAGACAATATTAAAGAAAACTCTCATACCAACTTTTATAATACCATCCTGTTGATTCTGGTGGCTTCAGCAACAACCAAGCCAGCGCTAGGATTATAGGTCAGCATGAGAACATTAATAATTGATTTCTCAAAAACATTAATATCTGGAAAAGGGGAGAAAAACCTTAATTTTACTCCTAGACAATAGTGAACTAGAAAAAAGGGTGCTTCCAGACAAGACCTTCATTGTAAATTACCCTCCCTCATTCATGTACTGTAGTTTTGATAGGAATGCAAAAAACTAATCTGGATATCATTGATTTTCATTTGTAACTTTCTCATGCTCTTAATTATTTCTTCCATTTTTCTCATCATCATCATCATCATGTTAGAAGGTACCTTGGAGGTCATCTAGTCCAACCCCCTGCTCAGGCAGGAAACCCTATACCGTTTCGGACAAATGGCTGTCCAGTCTCTTCTTAAAAACTTCCAGTGTTGGAGCATTCACTGCTTCTGGAGGCAGGTTGTTCCACTGGTTAATTGTTCTAATTGTCAGGAAGTTTCTCCTTAGTTCTAGCTTGCTTCTCTCCTTGATTAGTTTCCATCCGTTGCTTCTTGTTCTGTCTTCAGGCGCTTTGGAAAATAGCTTGACTCCCTCTTCTTTGTGCAGCCCCTGAGATATTGGAACACTGCTATCATGTCCCCCTTCATCCTTCTCTTCATTAAACTAGACATACCCAATTCCAGCAGCCGTTCCTCATATGTTTTAGCCTCCAGTCCCCTAATCATCTTTGTTGCTTTTCTCTGTACTCTTTCTAGAGTCTCAACATCTTTTTTATATCGCGGTGACTAAAACTGGATGCAGTATTCGAAATGTGGCCTTACCAAGGCATTGTAAAGTGGTATTAACACTTCACGTGATCTTGATTCTACATATATAACAAAAAATTATCAAGGAAAAGGTAGAATTCAGTATGTTCATTTTATCTGGTATCCCTAAAGACCACCATTTTGCAACACTATATCTCTTCTACTTAAAGAATGTCCATTATATTTTGAATTAAAATTTCACCAGGGCTACCCTAGCCTAATTCAAATTTACAATCTGCTTTGCATTCTAGAGCGTTAAGGGAAAATTGCTACGCAGAAAGACATGTAAATAGACAAAGTTTCTCTCCACTTCCCAAATTTTTCCTATTTCTCAGTTGGAACTTTTGACAACATGGGAAATTGATAATGGTAAAAATTCAACCACAGATAGGGACTGCAATTGGCCCTGCAATCTTGATGCTGTTGTTCAGTTGCTAAGATAAGAAACTCCAGTGTATCCTTCAAACAGCCCACTCTCAACTAGTGTTACAATGTTGGTTAGGGCACAGAAAGATAGAGGTTTCTTTTCCCCATGGTCTGGGCATTTATCATATCAAACATAGATTTTAGTCCTAAATTACAGCACATTTCAGTTTTCATCTTTCCTACACTGACCCAGTTCCTGATAATGGTTAGACCAAATTTTCTTTAAAAATGTGATGGAACAGTCTTGGATAAATGACTGAAGTTGCCCAAGAGACAGTTCTTCAGTATGGAGGTGCCATACACTGGTATCCTAAGAGTCAGACTAATTCTGAACATAGGAATCTTTTGGTAGACCAATAGATCTATGTCTATAAATAGGCTAGCTGATAGCTTGTTGGGCAGACAAGCAAAGAATAGGTAGGCAATGAAGCATGAAGAAGCCTGGGTGGTGCAGTCAGAGAACTGCATTGCCTTTACCCTGACCCATCTTCCAGCCCACTGACCTGTCAGAGGGGCTGCTGTGCCTATAGAGCTAGAAGAGGAAATTGGAAGAACTGCTGTCAATTTTACCCCCTCCAAATGCATTTCAAATACTTTGACCATCTAATAAGAAGGAAGGACTCACTGGAGAAGAGCCTAATGCTGGGAAAGATTGAGGGCAATAGAAGAAGGGGACGACAGAGAATGAGATGGCTGGATGGAGTCACTGAAGCAGTAGGAGTGAGCTTAAATGGACTCCAGAAGATGGTAGAGGACAGGAAGGCTTGGAGGAATGTTGTCTATGGGGTCGCAATGGGTCAGACACGACTTCGCAACTAACAACAACCAAATGCATCAGAGATCTGCAAGGTAGCTCCGGTGCTGGCAGAACAGAGCCACAGTTGGGTACACCTGAAATAAAAAAAATATTTTTTAAATATAATTTTTATCAAATACTTTTTGAGCCAGATAAAAACAATACAAATATTAGAAAATAAACAAAGAAAATAAGGGGAATCATTAAAAAATAAGAAAGGAACGAGGGGGGGGGGAAGAGAAAAGGCTTTCAATCTTTTTGGCAGTGGTTATAAATGTATTTATATTTTGCCTTCTCTCTCCAAAATTACATCATAATTTCCTTCTTTCCATAAGCTGTCCTTTCTAATCTTCAAAATCATAAATCACAAGTTCATTTTTCTCTTTTTTTCTTCAGCAAAATTGTTAAGCTGTGTCCAGTCACTGATAAATGTGGCTGCTGATATTTCTCTAATCAAGTGAATTAATTTTGCCATTTCTGCTTATTTTGTCATCTTTGCTTTTCATTCCTCCACTGTAGATATTTTAGAGTCTTTCCATTATACCGGAAAATTCTGATTGAGTGTACAAAATGATGCCACTCCAGAAGCATAAAAAACCTATAATGCGCTAATTTTGGAAAGAACCAGCAACAGATATCTTTCTCTCTATTATTTGGCACCTGTTTTTTTTACAAAAAGCCTTTTAATAAACCACTGAACATATGTGTAGTAAATCCAAAAGATGTACAGTACATAAGTACAGTAGCCCACCTAAAGTCTGAATCATGCTTTGTGAAGACAAGTCAGGCAAACTTAAGTCAGATGTCTGGGTCTCTTGCAGTCCAAGTCAAAATGGTTGTGATGGGCAGTACCATTTGACTAGAGGGGAAGGACATGCTCCCAACAACTTTACCTGGCCCACAGGAGCTCAGAAGATACCTGACTGCATTGTCATCAAGATTTTGGGATCAGGCATCTTGGATCATTCATAAGCCAAGACCTGTGTTAGGAGAAAATTGAAAATGTCACCTTTTACCTGGAAGAACTAAGGAGCAATATAAAACTACTTCCACAGTGGGTTGGGGAATGTGACAAAGTCAGTAAAATGATTAGCATATAAAGAACGGCTGCTGGAATTGGGTATGTCTAGTTTAATGAAGAGAAAAACTAGGGGTGACATGATAGCAGTGTTCCAATATCTCAGGGGCTGCCACAAAGAAGAGGGAGTCAAGCTATTTTCCAAAGCGCCTGAAGACAGAACAAGAAGCAACAGATGGAAACTAACCAAGGAGAGAAGCAACCTAGAACTAAGGAGAAACTTCCTGATAGCTAGAACAATTAACCAGTGGAACAACCTGCCTCCAGAAGCAATGAATGCTCCAACACTGGAAGTTTTTAAGAAGAGACTGGACAGCCATTTGTCCGAAATGGTATACAGTTTCCTGCCTGAGCAGGGGATTGGACTTGATGACCTCCAAGGTCCCTTCCAACTTTATTATTATTGTTACGGTTATGGTTATTATTAACGTCTTCATATCATTTGAGATGATGTACAAATATGATGTACATGGTGTACAAATATTTCCACCAGGTTTTTTTAATTGTTCCAGAGAGAAGACGAAAAGTAGACCTGTCCTTCAGAAAATAGTTGGCTTCAAATCACATTTCTCTTTTGCATCATCTTGCAAGTTAAGTGTACTTCTACAGAGTCAAACAAGACTTTTCTGGCCTCCAATCACTTGTTTTGTTCAGATTGGCTCAAGGATGTGACCTAATGCAAAATGTTATTAGCTGCATACATCAAAGCAGTGCAACAAAAGAAACAGGGAAATTGACACAGGTGGTAGTCATCTATGGTGTAACATACATTAGAATGAGAGCTTTAATATAAGGCAGGCACATCAAACTGCTGGCCTCTGGGTCTGATGTGTCACACCAAAACCATGCCCACCCCATTGCTGGCAATGGGGGAAAAGTCACGATATGTAGTGCAACATCACTTGACGTCACGAGTTTGACATGCTTGACATAAGGCATCTGAAGAACACCCACTTTAGCTGAAACCAATCTCTCATGCTGCTTGATGATACAGGCTAACACATCTGGAGAGCACTAGGTTGAGAACCTAGGTTAAACCCTGGACAACAACATTTATGTCCACAAAATTCCTGTATAATAAGAGTCCTTACTACAAAGAAGGTGATATTCATAGGAATATCCTTTCTTTATATATGGGTAGGAAATTATAGTCATGATCTCTCCTGGTGCAGTGCAACTCTATGTTTACTTTTCAGGAGACTTTTTCACCTATCTCTTTTAGCCTTCCTCTCCTACTTACTCAAATCACTCAGCCAGACCATTTTTATGATGGACTAATGCTAGCAGAAATACAAATAAACACTGCTATTAAATATCCTCTATAATTAGTAACTTGATTTCTAAAATGAAATGAAAAATGTAATGTTCCCTCTATTTGCTCACTAACAGCTAAACTCTTGTTCCATGACCCGAGAGGGCCATGCCTTCCAGTTTCTAAGAATACTTAATAAGGTAATGTTTAGGAGGCTACTATCTTTACAGCCCTTGTCTTATTGCAACAGTGTAAAAACAAAATAAAACATACAGTCTGAAGGGGAATTCCAATGAAGACTTCGTTTGTTAAAATACTGTTTTCCGTCCAAGATGTAGTAGGACAAGTCTCTGTTGCAATTGATCTGGTATGGATGTTTCTGCCAAACATAATTGCCTCTCTTCTTCATATCTGTTCCAGTTTTCCTGGCTAACTGATAATAATCTATAATTGTTTTGCTTTTTGAAATTCAGGCACTTAGTCATTCATAGAATGAATGAACCTGTTGATCGTCAGTTGTCAGCATGAGTGACAGCTACCAGTGCAATCTGTTCAGTTTAAATTCTTGCAGCTGGCTTCTTAAATTTGCATTGATTGAAAGTTCTAAGACAAATGTCTATCTACCTTTAATGATTAGGCATATTGGTTCTCTACTAAAAGCAAAAAAAAGCTGCATGACAATAAGGCTGATGCAGACCTTAGTCACTTAAGTTTTGTGATGTAAGACAACACACCTCTCCTCCTGCTCATTCAGTCAATGTGTAGCTGACTTCTCAGGATAGGCTTTTAGAAGCATATTCTCTCTTGAAAAATATTATTTGTGGAATATCTAGAGCAGGGGTCTTCAAACCTGGCCCTTTTATGACTTGTGGACTTCAAGTTGAATTCCACAAGTCATAAAAGGGCCAAGTTTGAAGACCCCTGATCTAGAGCATACTACTGAGATAGACAGTTCTTGTTGCTTACAGGGAGTCAGCTTCAGCTCAGAACCTATAGGACAGGACAGCAAACTTGACAGATTCTGCTGATGGATCTTCAGAAGCCTACTAGAACCACACAAAGTCTTAGGGTAGAAAGAGATTTGGAGATTTTCTAGCCAAATCCTTGCCAGATGTGGATCTTCAACCCACCCCAGGCAAATGGCTCTCCAATGTGTTGTAAACCTCTAATCTGCCCCCAATATGTATTCAACTTCTCTGGGTGCAAATATATTTACTTTTTTAATTTAAAAAAATATGAGCTGCGGACCTCCACTGGTCTTGAACTCAGTGGTGACTGATTGGGGACTAAGAGCATTCCCATGTTAGTTCCCAAATCAAGTAAATAGTTTTGCCTATACATTATGAATAAGGCCAACAATAGGAGAATTGGACTAATCACCCTTGAGCACAATTCAAAATACTGTTATTTCAACTGTTTGAAAAATCATTTTCTCCATATATTTGAGATCTTTTGAAGAAATGTTTCACTAGTGGACATACATTTAATGGGAACATGAAGGAGATCTTCTTTGGTAGATGCTCATAGACTATAGAACTCCTTACTAAGGGACAGTAGTTTAATTTCCTTACAACTTTTATTTTAGTAGAGCTAGAGACAAGGGGGCAGGGGGTGTGATGGCTCAGCAGTTAAAGACATGAGCTTGTCATCTGGACAGCTAAAAGCCTGGGTTCAAGAGCTGAGTGTCACGTAATGGGGTGAGTTCCTACCCAGCTAGCAGTTCGAAAGCACTCAAATGCGAGTAGATTAATAGGTACCACTTTGATAGAAGGGTAACAGCATTCTGTGCACCTTTAGCATATAGCCATGTTACCTACTTGATCACTGAAAATGTCTTCAGACAATACTGGCTTCCTTGGCGAAGAAATGGACATGAGCATCATGTCCTAGAGTTGGACAGATTGGATAGGGAAACCTTTACTTTTATGGGCAAGGAACCTCAATTGACATCTTCCAAATCTGTTGAACTTCGATTCCCATAATCCCCCAAATCCCAATAATTACTAGGCAAATATGGGGAATTCATGCTCAACACATATGAAAGGCATGAAGTTGTGCAGAATAGTCAACTTCCAAATTCAACTTCCAGGACTTCAGTACAGATATCTGCTATTTTGAAATGCCTGTGTTTCCAAGAAAAAAAATTAATAGTAGCCATAGTAATCCATACTTATTTCTTAACATTCCTTTGTTTGAAATAGCCCCATGTCTTCAAAGGACCTGCAGTCTGTTCTAGTCTCGAAGCTAGGAAATTCAAAATAGGGATAGGGACATTTAGTAGATTAATGGTATCACACAAAACATGCAAGCTGTGCATGCTATTTATACTGAGATCATGCTTGGAAATCAGACGTTTAATTTCTCTTTCGGGTTGTGACTTGGGATTCGTGCAAACCTCTTATCTTCATCTATAATGTTTCCTTGCTTGGAGAAAGGGTGGGACAGCCATCGTGCAAATTAACTTAATTGAGAGATCAGACATTTTGTTCTGGCTGCTTCTTTTTGGATTCTAATGTCTCTTAATGTCATTCCTATCTAGCAGAACAATACCATACAATCACATTTATTTTAGTAATAAAGTCATCATGATTATCATTGGTTACCTGGAGATACATTACTAACAGGATATCTTTTTACTTTTTGCTCCATAGAGAGGACCAAGGTGAAGAAACACACACTCACATCCCCAAGAGAACAATGTCAGAGCAACTCAGACATATCATAATCTTCCAGTGATCTAGTAAATCTATGCCCAGTTTTAATCTAGGAATATTTTTCTTGCTTATAGTTCAACACCTCACATAAAAGAAATCCTATTCTGTGATAAATTTTGTGTCTTGCTTTGAAGAAGAAAAAATATATAAGCATCAAGGCCAGCTGAGATTCTTTAGCTAGCTGTCCTCATTAACTAGCTGTCCTCATTAGCAGAAGAACAATATGAAAGAAAATAAACTGCTGATGGAGAGAGCTCCTATAAGCTTTATGCCTTTCATGGTTTTTCATCTTGCCAGTAATCAAATCACTCTGAGACAGTTCCTACCATACATGGGCTCATGTTTCCCAACCATAGATGTGTGTGTTTTATATTTCTCTCCTCAAATGAAACATGGGAGAAATATCATTTATCTCAGAGCTAGTACAAGACATTTTGCTCTCCGAACAGCATAGCAAGATGGTGGGTGCCTATCCAGTCAGCCACAGTGGATTCACTGGGACTGACTGAAATAAAATTTGCATGGGTTTAAACAGAACAAAATCTCTTTAATTAAAAAGTACAAATAAACAAAACAATGAAAGAGAAATGCACATTTATTCTGATTTAGTACACATAATTCCCCACCCTGTACACATTTACTGTAACTTACCTGTTGTTTAAAACTTTAGAAATGAAATCATATTCAGCTCTCCAGAAACTTTTTCCCTTTATGATTCACTTTCCATCATAAATACTCTACACTTTCAAGGCTAAAGCAAGCAATTCATAAGATTACAGGAACAAACAAAAGCTCCTGAAATTGTCACATTTTAACTCAACAGGGTTAACAAACCCCTCCCACCACCACATTTGAAGGTCTAATACTAATATTGGAAATGCAATGTAGGCTATTTTTCCTGCCTCCAGCACTGAGTAGTTAAGCTCCAACAGTAAGAACATAAGGGTTGCACTGGATCAATAGGCCAATTTTACCACCTATTCCTTTCATAGAGACCAACTTGATGCTTTTGTGAAGCTCACTAATAAAACAGAATGAAATAATGCTTTCTCACTAGTGTTTCTCAGCAACTAATACTGAAATGATTATGACCTCTGAATTTGAAGCTTTTCATTTTCATTTTTATTTTTTTAGTAAGGCATCCATTTTCTAAAACAGAGCTGAAGAATTAAAACTTTCCAGTTTCTGTAGGACTGCAAAAAAGATATCTGGTGACGTAGTAAGGTCAGCAGAAGAGCCATGCTGCATTTCTTTTACCTGCTTTTGTTTGTTTCTTTTTGAGGGAGATTAAGAGAATGGGAATGGGAATAGAAGGTTCTAGAAATCAAATTGCTACCCTTTCCACCAATCAACCCACCAGCCCCTCCTACTCAAAAGTGTGTTTTTGAAATTCAGAACTTTACTGCTAAGTTTTGATGGAAATAGTCTTGGGAGTTTCAGGATACAAGTAAGGTATAATCATTACATGTGGCCATAGACCCTCAGTTGCCCATCTCTAATCTAAAGGAATCTAAAATCTTAGCTTCCTTAACACTGCCTATCCTCTTGGGGATGGTGATAGTGTTTGACCTGCAATTTACATTCAAGCTATGCTATTATAGCTGCACAGAGTCATTGGATATGAGATGGGCGGCAAATAAAGTTCATAAATAAACAAATTGTGATGTTGAGCCCAACATGATTAATCTCAAGAGTTTTCACACTCCATTTTCTTTGTTTCCTTTTTACTTGTCCCCCCCCCCACTCTTTTAAAAAAAAATTCTGACATAAGCTGGATTTTCTGCACATTTTCCCTGTGACATTTAAATAAAGTTTGACAGTATTGGGATCGTGTTTTTGGTCAGTGAAACACTTACTGTATATGTCTTACTATATCTTGCGTGCTGTATAGATGTGTCCTATCCTGTAGAAAGGGATTCAGGTCCATCCTTGGAAGTGAAAGAATGTTGCTTCTTTTCTATTACGACAATTGATATTACCTCAGTTTACACAGTATGTCTTTTGGGATGCCTCCCTGATTAAATTGTCCATTTCAGGGTCACTCCTAATATTTTGGGCAGGTGGACAATAGCATGCCCGCAGCATAAAACAATTTGGAGAATTTGATAGCATAACTAACAATAATTCCATGGGGGTAGTTTTTTTCCTTTTGAGAAATTTGCTGTATTGGTTACCATGCTTTCTGTGACACAAAGGTATACCATTTCTAGCAAGCAGTTGGGGATGGTGATAGTGTTTGACCTCCAATTTACATTCAAGATATGCTATTGTAGCTGCCCAGAGTCATTGGATATGAGATGGGCGGCAAATAAAATTCATAAACAAACAAATTGTGATGTTGAGCCCAACACGATTAATCTCAAATATACAATATTTGCAGCATTGACACCCAGTTTTTTACAGTTTGTATCCAATGATGACCTTCTATTACTGGTTTTCTTCATTTCTTTATGCCTGCATTTCAAGTCTGCTATACTCCATAAAAGATTATCTCACAAGATAGTCTTTTACAGTATGTTACAGGAGATCTTCCATTTCTGCTTCAACACACAACATCAGTTACCTATGTAGAAATCATTAAAACAAACGGCCCACTCACCCATTCCTTGTTTTCTCCTTGAAGGTACTTAAAATTGCAAAATGCCATTATTATAGTGGCAGAGTTAGTGTTGTTGTTGATCACAACAAATAGTATTTAGCTTATTACTGCCATGATAGTTATTTTATCACCCATGATATCACTGACTGAAGGCAGGTGAAAAATGTTTTGGTGAAAATCTGAACTCTGCTTGTGAATGATTATTATTATTTACGTGTATGTTTGCCATTCATTTACTGATGAATGTTTAGATTTTCTTTACATCCTTGTACTTTACAGACCTATTAATATGACATTGCAACAAGCATTTGGGAACAATTTGAAACTTCTAGCATTAGTATAAAAACACTAATATGGGATTGTTCTCCAAATATTTTTGCTGCTTGACTTCCCTTTGGGCTTTTTGGATATCATGTTCTGCTATTAGTTTATGTCCTATTTCTGACCTATCTTCTATTGGGGAAACAAAAAAAAAAAATACTGTCATCTCTTCAGAATAGTAATGTCATCAAACAACAACATCTCACTATCCCGGGTCCTTGGGAAAAACCCCATAAGTGGATAAAAATACTAAATCCAATCTAAATATCTGTTTGACTGTGTGATAAACCATAATAATTGTTATTGTTTTTGTTTATTAAATGTATATGTGGTCTTTAGGTTTTCAGATTCATTGAATTCTCCCCAAAATCTGCTTAACAATTTTTTGATGATAAGTTCAAGCAGTTTTGCTCCATTTGGATAAAACGGGCTCTTTCCCTTTTCACTAAGTTTCTCCCTAAAATGTTCCAAATTAATCTCCACTATGTGCTATACCAGCAGTCCTCAACCTTTCTGGCTTCATGGACTAGCGGTGGCGTTGGTAGTACATGGCGGTGGGAGGGAGGGGCTGGTTTCATGAGCACAAAATCTAGACCTCATGCAAATGAAGCTCTGCATGCTTACCTGCTGCTTGCATGGACCATTTCCCAACAGGTTGTGGACCAATACCAGTCCACAGACTGGGAGTTGGGGACCCCTGTGTATGCCAATATTTTATCCAATCTTTAATACCTCTTAGTCTAAATGGATAACAGTTAGAGAAAGGTGCACTAGAAATTCTAGCTTCCAACTTTGGATATGGTTTCCAAGACTTCATATTTCCTCATCGTGCCCAACCTTCTTTATGACTTCAGTGTCTACTCTAAATATCTAACATAGTCCTTATTTGAAAAGTCCAATCAGACTGAAAAACGCAAATGGGTGGGAAAAATATCCTATATCATCTTTGTTCATTTATATCCAGAAAAAGAGAAAGAGTCAAAAAGATCAAGAAAAGTTTAGGATAAGGGAAAGAAATCATTTATGTGAATTTTGTATGCTGCTTTTCCTATGCTTATATGGTTCTTATCCTGGTCAAATGAAGTTTTCTCAAACTAAAAAAAATCACAAGGTGTCTCAAGTCAGGTCAGGGAAGTGCTTCTCTCTTCAGATTCTAAACTTTGTGGGCTGCAGTGTGCCGGGAGTGACTCCATCCTATGGCTTCAAAAATACTACTTCCAAATATATATTTTTTTCTCTCTTTGCTTCTGCTGCGTTTGTCACTGACTGGGTAGAACTTATCCCCTTCAAGTATGTGCTGGGGCAAGAGAATTGGAGAGGAAGCAAATTATTACAAACAACTTTCCCTGAGTGAGTTCATTTACGTTCCCAGGCATGTAGCTGGCAACAGCCTCCAGGCCTCACTCCTTCCCCCCCCCCCCGCCTTCCCTCAGCCTCTCCCCCTTCCTTCTTTCTCTCTCTCTCTCTCTCTCCCTCCCTCCCTCCTTCCCAGCGTTAATGACTTCCACATGGGTCTCTGGCATTCTGAGCATTGTCTGAAATCTCCAAATTTAGAAGAAATATGAAAATTGTCAAGCACGCCTTCCTTAGGGGGTAAAACCAACATTCGCTTGAACTGTTGCAGGTCAAGGCAGCAGTACCACATGACCAGGCCTTAACCAATGGTCTGCTTGGGGTTCCTGACAGATGTGGCCGACAGCCATCCAGCATCATCTTTCAGCTCATATAAGGTAAAAGTAAAAGGTTTTCCAGATTTTAAGCAGTGAAGAAAGAGGACCACTTGTGCTAGCCGCTTAAAAGAGGAGTGGCAACTCGGAGGTTCCAGTAGCCCCTCTATAGTTTGAACAGATGAAAAGGTGTCCATCTTCTCCATCCACAACATGGGCCTGGTATATGACAGGTATGTGCAGAGATTTCCACCTGTTGAAAGCAGGTATGTTTTTAACTCCTGAACATTTGCAGAACAAAACTTCTCTCTCTCTCTCTCTCTCTCTCTCTCTCTCTCTCTCTCTCTCTCTCTCTCTTTCTCTGTATATTTCTGTGTTTTTCTGTCTCTCTGTCTCTCTCCATCATCTGTATTAAGTTGGCTTTATAGCTTTAGTTACTTGTATCGTTATTTGGGTAACATGGAATATCCTCATGGAACAAATGGTCTCTGACTGAATTTCCCTTTCTGTTCTTAGACTATACATAATTTTACATGCATAAAGTAACTTTGCCTTTATTTTTTCATCACATAACTTTCTAAGGGGGGAGGGTTGACCCAAAAAGAGAAAGATTGGGATGCCCTTTACCAAAAGAGAGGGAAAATAAAGAACCTACCTCAAGCAACCGGATCAATGTGGGGTCTATTTGCAGGAAGCATCTTTATATATTTTGCTAGTCTCCTTTCCTCTCCAGAGTTTGAGAACTGATGATGGAAATGGGAAACAAAGAACCTATCAAATAAGATTTATTTCTTAATTTTTAGGGGTAACGTCATGTCGGTCCCTTTATTTCAGCATCCTGGGATTAGTTTCTAGAGTGATGATTTTTTGATTTTGAGAATTGTAGTCCACAAGTGAAAGAGTAGAAAGATTTCAGTTAGAAACGGAATTGGTTTTGATTTAGGATTGTTAAGTCTATAACTGCTCCTGTTTCTCACCACCATCTTCCCATGCTGTGCACCAAGCACAAAATGCCTACAAAAATTAGTATTGATGTGATCCTGTACTTTTCAAAGAAAGATAAAGCAGTTCATCTCTGATGACTGCCAGACAGTACAAAGACAGATTCTAAAATGCAGATGTCTCATAGAGCTGTTCTGGTATTTGTTTGTTCCAGAGAATGTGTTCCAGGCTGGAAAATAAAAACCAGAAGTATTTCCAGCCAAGACTGCCCTCCTCACCTCCCACACTGCAGTGGAAAAATCCAATAGATCACTGTGTCTTCCCAGGGCTCTGTCGTCAAGGTGGAGCCAACCTAGAAGCAGAGGTTCTGCTAAAGTTAGAGCAGCAACAAGTTTTACACAGGCATTAAACAACCCAGTGGGAAAAGGTATCTGGTTTTGTCCATTTGTTTCTCTCTCTCACACACACACACACACATACACACACACAGCTTTTCTAGTAATGTGATCCAGGCCAGAACCAGAAGTGGAGACACTGATTATTTAATCAGTCCCTGAATAATCAAATAAGCCAAATTTTCTAGCAGAAAGGAAAGATGTTCCATAGCAAGGGATTCTGTTTTTTGCTCTTGAGAGCAACATTTTAGGGGTCCTTGGTTTTCTGTGAGCTGGTTGTTTTCTTATGGATGTTTAGTTACTCTAACTAACATCATCAGTGGTAATTAGGATGTTATTTAGTTTGGGTAATGACAAGTTTGCAAGAAAATAACCAAGCTCAGAGAAGACCCTTATTTCAGCCCTGAGTTACAAATATTCTCCTCTATCAGCAATGTTTTAACATGCTGGTGGAAATTAAATATGTTTTGCTGTTGTTAATAATCAATGCAATTCTTTCCAGAGCATCTCAGATATCCAACTACAAATACACAACTACCTCTCTGCTGATCACCTTGATATCTGGTCACTCCCCCCCCCCCTCGTTAGAATATAGCTAGCAATATGAGCACTATTGATGTTTCTTTCAAAATGATAGTATCTGATAGGAAATGTGGCCTCAGGATTTAAAGCACTGAAGCCAAAAAGACAAAGAAGGAATTCTTTTTTTTTTTTTTTTTGCTATTTTGAAATAAACACATGCACATACATATCCAGATTTCCCAAAGCAATTATTTGTAGGAAATTATGTGTGTCTAGACGGGGAAAAATGTTGAATAGTTCCTGGAGAGCGTAATATTTCCTTTCCTACTTGTGAAAAATAGGGTCTGGAAATCATTTAAGTTTCTTTCACTGCCCCACTTTTTTTTTAAAGAGCAGTTTATAAATCACTTTTACAACTTTAAATAGTTCAGAAAACTATTCTGATTCTGATGAAAACAAAATAATTTTCATTTTCCTCAGCTTTTCCCAAACAACATTTCAATTTATCCTTTTTCATAAGCAAATAAGTTCTTGAAAATGTTATGGGAGAAATACAGATGTACTTCCCAAGACTGACCCTAATCACAATCACAATCACAATCATAATCACAATCACAATCATAATAGAGTTTAGGAGTAATAATTATAGTGTTTAGGACTAATTATTAGTCCTGTTTAGTTATTTCTTTTATATTCTTTATTATTGTAGGGAAGCAGTTAAGAATTGAGCCTATATGTCTTTTCAAGACCTATCAAATCAACTCTGGGTGTGAGATTTCATAGTAGTGAAATCAGGAATGATTCGTGATTGAATTCAAATATCATTTTTAAGCTCATAATGCAGGAAAGGAAGCAAAAGTTGATGTAAGTTAGCCTTCTTCAATTTAGCAGACAATATTCATCAGGTACTGCCGTTGTTAAGAATAGCTAGGCAGCTGTGCTTATATCTGGAAGAAATAAAGCTAGGGGAAGCTGCTATAAATATAATTATGAAAATGCTCATAGATTTTAAAGTCTTGACAAATTTTTTGTTTTGAAAATATTAGCCTAAATACTGAATATAAAATGCAGCCATCAGCCTCCTATGGAATAATTGTCTTCTTATTTTATGATCTTCAGCATGGGTTAATGGAGAAGGACAATTGCAACTGCTGTGATGCCCAATCACAGATGTTGAGGTTAGGTCTAGAAGAACTGACACAGGTGCTGACTTTTCCATATGTTATATTCAAATACTGGAGAAAGGAACATGGATATGAACCTACTTTTTCATATAATTTAGAATAGACTAGAATAGACTTCCAACTAGAGTTGCAAGGGATCTTGGAGGTCTTCTAGTCCAACTGCCTGCTAAGGCAGGAACCCCTATATCATTTCAGACAAATGGTTGTCCAATCTCTTCTTTAAAATCTCCAGTGTTGGAACATTCATATTTTCTGGAGGCAAGTTGTTCCACTCATTAATTGTTCTGTCTGGAAATTTCTCCTTAGTTCTAGGTTGCTTCTCTCCTTGATTAGTTTCCATCTGCTGCTTCTTGTCCTGCCCTCAGGTGCTTTGGAGAATAGCTTGACTCCCTCTTCTTTGTGACAACCTCTTTGGAGCATACAGCTTTTTTTTAGCATTTAATCTTTTTTAAAGAAAGTTTTATTGTGCTATAATAAACCCTACATCAGAATCTATGAATTAGAATGGGTACAATAGTGTTAACGTACGTTGTGCCAGAGGTAGTGCATGTATTTCTAAAGGACAGTGTAACTTCATTTTACTACACATTATTGGCGGAACAGTTGCACCGGCCATTACTGGTATCTGGGAATGGGGGCTATTGTGGTACGTGATAAGAAAGTTACAACACAACCTTATGCATAATTAATGGTGCACCCACATATGGCTTAATCCCAGAAAAATATGAATAAAACTGCAGTCAGAGTTCCTTTGTTGAATAAGATTCTAAGTCAGGGGTCTTCAAACTTGGTCCTTTTATGACTTGTGGACTTCAGCTCCCAGAATTCCTCAGCCAGCATGCCTGGCTGAGGAATCCTGGGAGTTGAAGTCCACAAGTCATAAAAGGGCCAAGTTTGAAGACCCCTGTTCTGAAGGGATTTGGCAATGCTCAAACAAGGCAGACCAGACTCTGAATAATATCAGTTTCTATGAGGAACAGCACAGCACTAGTAATTAATCAAAAATTCCCATAAAGTTCTATCCAAAACTGAATCTCTGAACATTATAAGACTGCTCATTTTCTTCCTTCATATCCATTCTTTTAGTTGTAGGTAGCAATCTCTAAGATTGTGAGAGGGGAGACCAGTTTCTCAAGTGCTTAAGACAAAGGGAACTCCCTCATAGCCTCTGGAAGTCTTTCTGCACATTGTGCGGTTGTCCTTACTCTTGTGTTCCATCTTCCCTTATTGCTGGCAATGTTTTCTCCAACTGGCAATGGAAGAATGTAAAAAAAAAAAAAAGCAGCTAAACAACACTCTGTTCCCATCTTCATTCTTGCCTTATACCAGGGGTTCTCAACCTTGGCAACTTTAAGACTTGTGGACTTCAACTCCCAGAATTCTTTGCTGGCTGAGGAATTCTGGGAGTTGAAGTCCACAAGTCTTAAAGTTGCCAAGGTTGAGAACCCCTGCCTTATACTATAATTGCAATAGAAGAGAAGGCAACATTTCTAGGCCACCTGGGAGGAGATGTACAATCTTGGGAATAATAGGTAGAATAAGGTAGGACTTCCTCCCAGTGAGAAATATGAAATCTTGCAGCTCAAGCAAAAGTGTTCTGAAGTGTTTTTTGCCATATTTCCTCAGAAGCAGATGTCAAGCCATTAGTTAACCATCTTCCTGAGCTCTTCAGAAACCCCGTATTATTATAGGGCCATCTGAATGGTGCCGATCTCAGATCAACACAGTCCCCACCTACAGAAGGGGCCCAAGAGAATACCTCATTTCACACATATAACATAGAAGATTAGTGTAAAATTAGTTGGAGGGCTCTTACCAAAACATCAGCAATCTTAAGTTTTGGAATTGACAGTCAATTATTCCTCTTACACTATTCCAGAGTAGCTTCATTGTCATTTCTAGGTTATTCCAGGGATTTGACATATATAATTGAATGTTAACTATTTCTTTTCTAGAAGAGGAGGAGAGAAAAACATACTGATCTCTTTTACATATCGACTTCTAGTTAAAAATAAGATCTTCATTTTAAAAGTTTCTACTTCATTAACATATCTGACTTCCTCCAAATTATATTTGATAAGAGGGCTGAGAATTTTAAACAAGTGGAATTAGGAACAATTTCCTAGTTCCATTTGCTTAAAAAAGTCTACAGCCTCTGAGGGTAAGATCTTAGTTATTAAATCAGTTAAA